TGATTTTTTCTCAGTAATGTTTTTATTTTAGTAGAGGTGTAAATTCACATGTCCCTCTTCCCTTTTCTCTCCAGTGGTGCAGCTTGTGAAACTGCAGTACAGTGGTATGACCAGGCCGCTGACGTTAGTACAGCCAGGATGTAGAGCATTTCCATAAGGACCTGTCATTTTAACCTTCTATCCACCTTTAATCCTGGGCAACTACTACTCTTCCCCATTTCTATAATTTTGTTATTTCAAGGATGTTATAAAATAGAATAATACAGTATGCAACCTTTTATGATTGAGTTTTTTCAGTCACTTAGTCCTCTGGAGACTCATCGGGTTCTATACATCAGTAGTTCAATTCCTTTTTGTTTCTGCATACTATTCTATGGTATGGATGTATTACAATTTGTTTAACCATTCTACCTGTTCAAGGACGTCTAGGTTGTTCCTAGTTCTGGGTATTACAAATGGAGTTGCTGTAGACCTGTGGCCTGAGGCTTTTGTGTGAGGGTGAGTTTTACTTCCTGGAATAAATGTCCAGGAGTGCAGCTATGGAGTTATATGATAGTTAGCATGTTAGCTTTTTAAGAACGACCAAACTTGTCCAGTGTGGCTAAAGGAATCTGGAGGTTAAAAAGTTTGACAACCACTGCCTTGTGCAAAGGCAACAATCAGAGCTGACAAGTGACATAAACAGTAAGAAAATTTTCTTGTGTTGAGATCATTAAGTAAGGAAACATTTTTCTTTCCTCAGCTTTTGAAGGCTTTGTTCTTTGCTTATAAATTACATTGTAGGGCCCAATATGTTGATTGCTTTTCAGTGCCACAGATAAATGCCCACAGATTTCTTCTGTGTATTTATATATTTATTCACTTCAAGTTAACAAATGAACCTAGAGCAAATTTTCCTTTTGTGCATAGTATGTGCCAAGAAGTGGAAATATAAAAAAATGAAAAAGGCACTGTCTTCCTTCTGAGAGGAGAGGAGACAGCCACGTATCATGTAGAAATTGCTGAAATGAAGTTATGTGAAAAAGCTGCAGGAGCTACAGAAAGGGAGATACACCAAGGGTCCACAACGATGAGAGAGGAGAGGATGTTGGAGGCTCAGCATTGGGTCAGGGGGACCAGGTGTTTCCTGTCTGAACATACTTTGGTACAGCCCTTACCTCATCATCTTTTTCCCCGTGCTGGATTTCTTGGGCTGGGAATAGGAAGGACTCTTGAAATCTGAGTTAAAAGTAACATCAAGGTGAAAGTTGTCTGAAAATATATAGTTTTGGAATATGCACATTAGTGGTTAAAAACTATAGTTCTTTCTGCTGGAATCTCTGTTGTGTAACAGGGCATTTATTCTTGTCCCACAAACCAGGAAGAGCCTTCATGCTAATCATAACCAGAATTAAGTAATAGTCTCATACCTCCCTTTCCATTGCACAGGCTATTTTTAAATATATTATTTTAAGTGTGTTTGAGTAATCTCTGCCAATTTAATAGTTTATTTCTCTTTACTATTCCTGGAATATTGCTAAACTTTTAGCTAACATATTTGTAGAAACATACATTATGCTACATTTTATTTCTATATTTTGGGAAATGTATGAGACTTATGTATTTGTAGTTTAGTGTCTTAAACTCTTCATAGGTATTATAGATAATATCTGAAATCAAAGTCATATCTAAACCTGAGCATATCCTCCTTGCAGTTCTGATCACCTGGATTTATCAAGACTGAGAGTACTGTCATGTAGTTGATCATTCAATGTTTATCAGGCTTCTCCACGGGAGGCCCAAGTCTTAGAGCTCTTACTCTGTTTTCTGATGTGTAACAAAACGCTTGAGCTGAGTACCTTATTTTAAAAATAAAAAAAAAAAGAAGTTTATTTAGCTCACAGTTTTGGAGCTTGAAGTCCAATATCAGCAGCCCCAGCTGTCTGGCCTTTGGTGAAGGGCTGCCTGGCTTCACGGTAGAGTGGAGAAAAGGAAAATGGCTTCATGCAGAGGGGATCACATGGCAAAACAGAAAGCCAGAGAAATTCAGGGCCAGCTTTATTCTTTTATCGGCCTGCTCTTGTGAGGATTAAGGGTCCTGTACGAATCATGCAAGTCTCTTCAGAGGGTGATGCCCAGTGACCTAACCACCTTCCACTGGGGCCCGGCTCCTGAAAGCTCCACCACCTCAACCCACCACACTGGGGACCAGGCTTCTAGTACATGAACCTTTGACACACACAGTAGTTAATCCATAGAAAACACACAGTATAGCAAGGAATCCAGCAGAAGAAGTGCCATATAACTGCTCAGGAGGCTAGCATACAAAGAAGAAAGAAAATCTAACAGACTGGGAGCAGTGGGATGGGCGACGTGGGGGAGCTGAAGGTTGGAAGAGTGGGGCAAGCGCATTTCTTATAAAACTCTCCCCTCCAGAAATATCTTTCCTTTTTCCTGTAATCACTTAATTACCATTGCCTTACTTTGAAGCAAGAAAGAACTAAGTTTCTTTTTCTTCTCTTTTGCTAATTGTAAGTTGTCTAGCTTTGGGCAAATCATAAAATCCATCTGAGCTTTTGTTTATCTTTAATAATAGCCAACACATTGCACCTGTAGTGTGTCAGGCACTATTTTAAGAAACACACACACTTATTGTTTATGTTGATCCTTTGAAATAGGAACTGTTAACCCCCATTTTCCATCTGAGAAAGAAACACACAGAAGAATTTAGTAAGGTCACAAGGCCAGTAAGCAACCAAACAGGGACTTGATCTCAGACCAGCTTCCAGTCTGTGATCTTAACTACTTGTGCTGTACAACCTCATTCAGTTTTCATTGAATATTTGTTTCATGATAACACAGAGGTCTTTCAGGAGTGGAAGTAATGAAAACATGTTAATTTTCCTCATGAAAAAATGATAAAATGAAAATAAAGAACTAAAGTTATTTAGTGATGTGGAAGATAGCTGAACTATAAGAAATGCTTTCTTAGTCATTATATGGGAGGCTACAATTGCAATGTTTTCTTGAGTGTAAGAAAAATTAAAATAGATACCATCACAAAGAACAGCAAAAGATTTGTGAATTTCCTTGCTAATTGAGTGGGAAACAAGTGTATAGAAATTCCATATTAGTAAAATACCTAACTTGAAGCAGTCTATCTGCCCAGATAAATTTCTCTCGTTAGTTTCATATACCTTGCACTGTAAACATGGTTATGATGTTCAAAGGTACAGAACAAATCCCATAAATTACCAAATATAACAAGTACTTGCTGTCTTAGTGTTGCTACTGATAGGAGTTTAGAGCACAGGTGCTCTTATTGTTATTTTATAAAATAACTTAAACATGATTTATCTGAGGTCAGATCAAGCTGTCCAACCTGAATCTTATCCCAACTCCCCTAATTCACTGCCATGGTTGTAAAATCTGTGAAAATGTTAATGCCTTATTTGTTCATTATTTAGACAGGGTCTTGTTGTGTAACCCAGGCTGGCCTTAAAGTTACTCATCTCCTGAGTGCTGGGATTACGTGCACACACCACCATGCCTGGCTTAATGTTGTTTTAAAAATAAGTACTCTAAATAGGTAAAATAGAAGTATGTACAGATTGGAGGGGAACGTTGTTGAAATGTAGACAGTAATAGAATCCATGTGTATCCTGCTTGTTCTGCTCTTGAGCAGGGATAGGAAGTTTTAGAGTTGGAGATTTTGTACCTGCTTCACATTTCCTGAATGTGCCATGCACCCTCCAGCCCCCATGACTTGTGAAACGGTAGCTAATGTGCTAGTTGATACTCTGCTTTCACCCGAGATACCCTTGTCCATTTTTTTCTCTCTGACCAATGCTTCCTGTCACAACTCAGCAGTTCATGTTTTTTCAAACACTTTTGAAAGTATTTCTAGCCACAAAGCCAAACAGAGTTAAATGCCAGTTCTCATCTTTCCCATGCTTACATAACATCCTGTATATAACTTTCTTAAAGTACTTATTACATGGAATTTTAATAATAGGTTTTCTTAAATGTCCTCTCCCTGCCTCTCTGCCCAAGTTCAATGTTCAGCACACATTGGAAGCTCTGTAAATATTTACAGAAGGGATCCAAAAAGCTGCTGTCTTTGGAGTTGATTTTTAACCCCTGGTGCTTCAGCAGCAGGATGTCCTTATATGAGGGGAACATTCCCTTTGAGCCTTGCACTAAAACCAGAGAATGTTGTAAGAGTCTTGTGTTAGAGAGGATGTGTATGTACAGACACACACACACACACTCTACACAAAGCTACTCCAAGAAAGCAACACCAAATGGAAGTATGGAATAAGAAGTAGAATTGAAATTTATAATGTGTCTTACATGTTTAGTTGAATTGCACAGGTAATTCAGTTAAATAGATAAACAATTAAAGCATAATAAAATAGTGTTGTACCTAATGGAGTTTGCACAGGTGTTATATGTGATGCAGATTGTCTTTCTATAATTTAAGTTATATAGGAAAAGAACATTCAAATCCTACATGTTTTAAAACATATTTTCCCATAGTTTGGGGCAAAGATCATCTTTATTACCAAACTCAAAATTACCCTCAAGAGTACATTTCAAACACACTGCCTTCGGTGTAGTACTGTATCTGCCCAAGGTCAATTAGAAGCCAAGAGCCGTGACTAGAATGACAAGTACAAACGTGTTACGTAATATACAGCAAATTGCAGTATTAGCACACTATGGAGATTAATTAGCTTTAAAACTACCATTGGACAATGAAGTATTTGGGTATTTCAGTCAGTCAAACAATTGACATACCATATAACATATCTTTGCTTTTAATCAAAGTTAAATATATTATTTAATATTTAATCAAAGTTATTCTTGGCCAACTAGCAAATAGTTTATTTCATTGTTTTTGTCACTAATTCATTACCTGATCTAAGCTGTAATTTTTTAACTAAAAAAATGAATAATATTATATTGAGACTTTTAACCACTTTTGATTGATAATAATTACTTTTGTTTTTATCACATAGAAAAAAACAAACCTTGGCTTTAGTCAGATACACCTCTGTCTATAAAAGGAAAGCAAACCTTCAGTGGAAGTCTAACATATGAGTGTACAGAATCTGTGCCACTTGATTCAGAATGGGAACAACAAATGATGAGATGGCGTCAGTGGAACAGACCTCTTCCTACTCCTCCCTAAATCCCCTGTGCTTTGAGTGTGGCCAGCAGCACTGGACAAAAGAAAACCACTTGTATAATTACCAGGATGAAGTGGATGATGACCTTGTCTGCCATATTTGCCTTCAGCCTCTGCTGCAGCCACTCGATACACCGTGTGGACACACTTTCTGCTACAAGTGCCTCAGAAACTTTTTACAAGAGAAAGATTTCTGTCCATTGGATCGGAAGAGACTTCATTTCAAGTTGTGTAAGAAGTCTAGCATTCTAGTTCATAAACTTCTAGACAAATTATTAGTTTTGTGTCCGTTTTCTTCAGTGTGCCAAGATGTAATGCAACGCTGTGATCTGGAGGCACATCTTAAAAACAGGTAAGCAACAGCTCTAAAGAAAGAGCAGTAGCTAGGTTTTATAAAAAGAGTTGTATAAAACAAATGAATAAAAATGTGATCACCAAGTATGGTGTTACACACCTGTAGTCCCAGCTCTCAGAAGCCTGAGATAGAAGCATTGCCAGTTTGACGCCATCCTGGAGCTAAAAGTAAGACCCTATCTCAAAAAAGTTAAAACACAAACAAAAAGCCCCAGCAAAGTAATGGGCAAATCAAATACAGAACATGCACAATAAAGTGCATTGAATAGTATTTAACATTATGATTTGTCAAAACTGTGAGTACAAAAACTACAGTGAGAAAGTACTATTTTATTTATTTATTTTTTTTTTAGTGTAACACAAAACAAATTCAAATGGTCAAGACGATACAATCATAGACTCTTTGTAAAAGGCAGTTGGGCAGTTTGTTTTTAGAACTGTAACTGAAATATCCTTTCATCTAGTTTACTATCCTAAGGAAATAATCCAGCAGAAGGGAAAATTGTAAAGATGTTCACCACAACATTGTACATGGTAAATTGGAGCTAATCTAATTTCTTAGGAGCCAGGAAGGGTTAAGATACAGTGTATCAACCCAATGGATACTATGCAGCCAATAAGAATGGGAATTTTGTTGGAAAGAAGTGTGGAAATAAGTTGCTTGATTTAATTTGCTGAGATCTTGTGAAGATTCTGTTCAGGAGCTTGACTGAACAAGAACCAGGAGTTAGAAAACTAAATATTTAGTGTGTATTTTTGTTCTAATGAAAACTTTTTAAAATGTTGAGTAACTTATTTAACTGAATAGTTGGTGAGTCTTATAATTCAATTTTTGTAAAAGACTTGATTTTTTAAATTATTTAAACCCTTAGGAAGGTTTAAAATACAACTCATATGTAGAATCACATAAAATGACAGAAATAAATGTATTCATTTGCAAACTTCGGGGGAAGCCACTGTGTAGTATAAATCTGCAGTAATCTTGAGGGCTGTAGGAAACAGTGCATCCTTTGTAGTACTGGGCTTAGATGTAAATGCAAATCTGATATAAAGTGACATGATACTCATACAGTCATAAATTTGAAGGAGGTTATCTAATCCCTAATTTAAAAAGTCACAAAGATTTAGAGTTAGTTAATGCTTTGGTTACACTTAAGCTTCCTTACTCTTGTAACTTCTGTATGCCGTGTTTATTCTACCATGGATAGAACCATGTTGCTAAATAGTAGTCAAAATTTCATACACACATGAATACACAAGTTCTTCCTGCTCCAGAATATGACTGTTACATAGAGATATCATGTACTCATTAGAAATAATTAAGACACATGAAACTTTTTAAAAAATGAACAAGGGCTGAACGTATAGCTCAGCGATAGAGAATTAGCATGCACAAGGCCATGGGTTCAGTTCCCTGCAATGCTAAAAACAGAAACAAGAACATTATTAGATGTTAGAGATGTCTACATTTATGGAGAAATTGCTTAAATTTAAACCGCATTGTCTAAAAATACAAGTTAACAGCAGGCAGTGGTGGCTCATGCCTATATCCTAGTCACTCAGGAGGCAGAGATCAGGAAGCCAACCCCCGGGGCAAATAGTTCACAAGATCCTGTCTCAAAAAAACAAAACACCCATCACAAAAAAGGGCTGGTTGAGTGACTGAAGCTGTAAAAGTACCTCCCTAGCAAGTGTGAGGACCTGCCACACAAATCCTTGTTCTGCCAATAAATAAATAATCAATCAGTCTAAGAAAAAGAAGGATATATAGATTTTTGAAAATGCATCTAGTTTAGCCTTAGCTAGTCCGGGTCAGGCCTACTCATGACTGAAGAATAATTTAGGCTTCTTATTTCTCTCAGTAGAACGATTGCTTTTAGGATATATGATTCTTTGGTGATTCTTTTATGAACATTAGTTCAGGATTTATGAGGGACTGAATGAAATATCAATTCAGTTACTTATTATTTTTAGAGCAATGAGGTAAGATTTTCACTAATTTTTCAGAATATTTACTTAAGTAGCATTCACACATTTAATATGTACTTGAAATGCTAATATTTTCTATTAAACCATTTATGATTATATAAAAATTTGGGAATTGCAGACTATTCTTTCATTTACAGATTGATTAAGGCTAAGCAGTTATATATCCCTTTGAAGCTCCATTTTCCAGGTGTGCCATGATATTTAAGTTACTAATTTAATAATTTCTGTGAAAGATACAATGAAATGGTGGATGATTGGAAAAGGTGGTGATTTGCCTTCATGTGAAGAACTAAGTAAGGGTGATTACTGAATATACCAATGTAAAAAGTTAAATTATCAAGTTTAATTTGATTTTATATCACATTTGAAGAGATATGTGGTGAGTAGTCTTACCTTTCTCTAGTCTCCATTAAAAATATTGAAATTTAGGTAGTATTTTTTATCCAACACTCAACCTAAAGAATGTATCATTTTTGTTCATTCAGCAAATATTTATTATTGACTTTGTGCTGCACACTGTTCTACCTGCTAAGTTATCTTGTCAAACTGTTAATAAGTTAGAATCTGCTGCTGGATTGTAATTCCTTTAGGGCCAGAACCATGTCGTCTTTGGATTCTCTTGCCCAAAGTTGACACTCAGCTAGTATTTGTTCAGTTTACTTGTTGATCTGTTCGATCATCCACTGCTGAGAAACTAACCAACCTAAGCATAGAAACATAAAACACAGCAAGCCTTTGATTCTGCTCTTAGATTCTGTAAGTCAGAATTCAGACAGGACATAGCAGGGATGCCCTGGCTCTGCTGTGTATCTGGGCCACCAATGGAACTGAAGAGTCCACTTCCAAGATAACTTCTTCATTTGTATGGTCTGGTTCTTTGGGGATGATTAGAAGCCTGGGCCCAGCTCAGACTTATCAGCTGAGATCCTGCAGGTGGCTTTTCCAGTTTAGCAGCTCCAGGTATGTAAAGTTCTTACATGGTGGCTCAGTGTCCCAGGCAGAGGCAGAAGTTCAGGCCTAAAATAATCTAGCCTTGCAGTCTCTTCTGCTGTTACTCTATTGGAAACAATCCTCCCCCAAATCTAATGGGCTTCACCTGTGGGAGAGGAAGAAAAAATTTGCAGCCATATCTCAAACAAGCATTCAGTAGTAAAAGAAGAATGATGTCATGAGGAATAGAACAAGATTATTATGACTACTTGTGGCACTTCTGTACACAATCCACTTGTTTTTTAGAAATTGATAAGTTTTATCTAAGTTTCATTGACATTCATAGAATTTCAGCATCAGCAACAATGAATCACTGAATGAAAGCTACATGGCTCTTGTGTGCCTTTGTCCTTTAGTTTTTAGGGTTTGGAAATCTCTTCACTCGTAGACGTAGAACATTAGTAGTAGTTTACATAAATTTGGTAATTTCAAATGTCAGATCACCTTTCCTATGAAAGGATGAAATTCTACTCTTAAATGGTATATGTTTCAGTTTGAGAGAGCTGACATTTTTCTCCTGCAGACAGAAATTTATGTAAGATGAATGTCTTTTTAAGAAAAATTACTGTTACTAACTAATTATATACTAGTAACAGTGAAGAATTGTAAAAGACATGAGCAGTGTCCATCTAAGAATGGAGAAATAAAGCCTTTAAAAAATATTCTATATATCGTACTAAGTATGTAATACTTGGATAATTATATTGTGAAATTTTGCCAGGCAACATCAGCCATAAAGCATTCCTCCTATTGTCCTGCACCTCTCCTCTCCAACCCACCCCAACAATTTAACATTTAAATCTTATGTTTATTTGTTGTTGTTAAATGATATATTAATACAACATTAATTCAGAACCGTTTTTCTTTACTATAATTTTTAAGAAGAAAAGAAAAACCATCTGATGAACTTAAAGATTTCAGCATGGAAAAAGACTTAAAGGTTTTCTTTCTACTGTACCAACTTCCTGTTCGGTGTCTTTTCTTTCTCCTATGTTCTTTGAAAGACAAACCACTTTGATTTTTATGAAGTCCACAGTATGTATTTTTCTTTGCCTGCGCTTTTGGTATCATATCTAAGAAACCATGGTCTAGTTCAAGGTCACAAAGATTTACACCTATATTTTCTTATCAGAGTTTCATAGTTTTAGCTCTTAATATTTTGGTCATTGATCCATTTTGGGTTGTTACATAAGATAATAGTATGTATTAATTCAATCCTTTAAATTTTATTGGGAGCTGGATGCCAGTGGCTGATACCTGTAATCCTAACTATTTGGGAGGCTGAGATCTGAAGGATCGCAGTTTGAGGCCAACCTGGGGAAATAGTTTACAGAGATACCACCTCCAAAATTACCAGAGGAAAATGGACTGGAGGTGTGGCTCAAGCAGTAGAGTACCTGCTTTGCAAGCTCAAAGCCTCGAGTTCAAATCCTAGTCTGACCAAAAACCAAAAAATTACTGAAGCTTTTTAAAAATGTTTTTAGCCTAGAAAACATTCTGTAAGTACTTGAGAGAATTATGTATTCTGCTATGGATAGATCAGGTGTCTGTTAGGTTTAGTTGTTGTATAGTATTGTTAAAGGGTTGTTTTATTTTCTTGTTCTTATGTTTAGTTGTCTATCCATTATCAAAAATAAAATATTGTTGCCTTCATTATTGTTGAATTGTCTCTTCCTCCCTTTGTCAGTGTATTTTTAGGGCTCTATTGTTTGCTGTGTTTATGTTTATAATTGTTATTTTTTCTTGATAAGTCAAGCTTTTCTTTCATTATAAATATCCTTTGTCATAATTATTCATTAATCTCCTATTAATTATTAGGATAGCTTTTGTCCTAAAATCTATTTTTGACTGAGTCTAGTGTGTATACCCAGCTCTCTTTTGGTTACTATTTGCCTGGTGTATGTTATTTCCGTGTTTTGCTTTTGGCCCCTTTATGTCCTTGAATCTGAAGTATGTCTCTTGTAAGCTGAACATAGTGAGATCATTCATGTTGTTTTTTTCCTTTTTTAACCCATTCTGTCAATCATGACTTTCTTCTGGTGGTACTAGGGAAAGCACCCAATCACTCGGCTACACCCCTACCTCTAAATCACTGAATTTTTATCTGCTTGTTGTTTTGTGTTTTTGAAACAGGGTCTCATAGCCAAGGCTGCCTGGAACTTACAATCCTCCTGTCTCTGCCTCCTGTGTGCTGGAATTACAAATGTGTACCACCATGCCTGGCAATCAGTGACTTTTTTGTTTTTGTTTTCAGTGTTTAGGATAAACCCAGGGCCTGGGCAATTCTATGCAAGCACTATACCACTTGGCTATATTACCAGCCCTTGATTTTTTGAGGCAGAGTCTCACTGTGTAGCTCAGGCTGGCCTGGAATTCACAATCCTCCTTTCTCAGTTTTCCAAGTTCTGGGGTCACAGATGTACACCACCATGCCCAGCAATCACTGATTTTTGATTGGAGGGTTTTAGTCTATGTTACTGAATTTTACTGAGAAGGTAGGAATTATGTTTCCTATTTTTCTATTTGCTTCTGTGTATCTTTTTTGGAAACAAACAGCTTTTATTTAGTCTTAAAAAGTATATAATAGGCCTTATAATTACTTAATTTGTGGCTAACAGCTGTTCCTATTTCCTTTTCATTCCCTGGACGTAGTCTGTTTTCCCACTGAAAACCAGCTGCTGCCCATGTGGATGTTGGTGTAAACCATGTATTTCTCAGTCACGATATGTTTATGGTCTAGTTACTGCCTCAGCTGTTTCCTTTTCTTTCTTTTTTTTTTTTTTTTTTTTTTTTTTTTGGCGGTGCTGGGGTTTGAACTCAGGGCCTTGTACTTGCTAAGCAGGCACTCTACCACTTGAGCCATGCCCCAGCCCAGCTTTTTTCCTTTATGGATAAAATAGTTTTATGCATTTATAATTAAATTTACTTTCTTGACAAAAAGGCATTTTTCTCATCCAGTTTTCAAAAATATTTGCCTAGATCTTTGCAAGAACAGTCCCTGGAATATTGCACAGCAATGCAGAAAGGAAAAAAATCACTTGTCTGCCTTCATAACAAGCCATAGAAAAAATTAAACAAGAGAAAAGTAGATAAAGGAATTTGAAATCGATCTTTAGTTCATGGGGAAGAAACTTACTAGTTTTATAGTTAAGGGATAGCTTTCAGTTTTAGTTTAATTTAGTCCTTGTTTTGTTGAGTGGAGGAGGCCTGTGATCTTCTCCATACATACGGCCATGCACCCACCCACCCCCACGGGTAGCTCCAGCTTTTCTTTACTATCACGTATCTTCCTCCCACTCAAACTGGGCATTATTGATTGCTTTGTCTTATCAAGGTGTCACATGGAAAGGAATATGCATCTGATGTCTGTTGTAAAAAAAAAAATCCCTTATTTAAATGTTTTGTTGATTGTTTAAATGAGCATCCACCTGCTATTTCTATGTGCTTAAATAAGTAAAAACAAGCACATTTACAGCTCTAGTTTGTTGTTGTTTGTGTAAGTTTCCCAAGTACTTAGAATATATTCTTTTGCCCACATTGCATATCTGTATTGCCATTGCTGCAAATCTAATTTTATAGACCAGCTAGTACACTTCTGTGTCCTATCATGTCTGTCATGAAGTAAGTTATTTGGGCCCTTGCAGTGCCTTGCTGCATGTTGTAAATTAAAGCTTCCGATGTATTAGTACCCACTAATTATGAATGTTTAGAGAGGGGCAGCAGCATGGCACACTCAAGGTCCAGGTCAGGATGCCACTTCTTATAGTGGAAGAAGCCTGGTAGATTGTCACTTGTGGTTGAGACTTCTTGCCTGTACAAAGGGCTCTGTAATCCAAATTTCATACTCATTCTTACAGCACAGAGGCAACTATTGGAGTGTCTCCTGGTGACTAGTATATACCTGAATATATTTTTTTGCTGAAGTAGTTTTTGAAATATATACCAAACTACTGTTCATGTCAATGTCTTTTGTTTAATTTGTCTGCCATGTGGAGTGGTAATAACTTAGTTTGAGTAGAGATTAGGATCAGAATTATGTACTAAATCGTGGTTATTTCTATTTCTTTTTGTGTAGAAGTCATTCCCATTCTTCTGTTGAGACATATGTTATTAATCTTCCCCCTTTTTTTGTTTTATCTTTTCAAATAATCTGGAAACACCTGATAACTCTTTCTAGATGTCCTGGAGCTTCTCATCGGAGAGTTGCCCTGGAAAGAAGAAAAACTAGTAAAACTCAGACAGATATTGAGAATGAAAGTGGATCCACTATAATAGAGCCCCCAGGTACTTCATCCCCAGAAATGGACTGCTCAGGGACAAGGACAGGCACAGTGCCCACCGAGCAGAACTTGACATCTGTGTCTCTTCCCACATGGACTGAGGAGCCTGGCCTGGACAACCCCGCCTTTGAGGAGAGCTCTGGAGCTGACAGTATGTGCTATTCACCTCCTCCTGGTATAGTTCCTCTCTGCCATCCTTTCCACTACTCTTCCAATGTGTGCCTTTGTCCTCTTTAGAAAAACTACTGCATTCAGATACAAGCTTACCCATCACATCATTCACCCTGTTCGGTGTGCAGTTCTAGTGGTCTGCATTTTGTAAAAAACGAGTCTTATCCTAAAGGAAGGTGATCCTTCCCCATCCTTTTTCCATTGTAATCCACTAGGCATTCACATGGTTCTTAATGTTTTTCTGTGTGCAAAAATGTGTTTGCTTTTTGGTATAAGAAATCAATGATATCATGAACAATGAAAACGGCAATAATAAATCAAGTGTATACTCTGTCAAGCATTACGCTACACACTTTCTGTTAGCTAATTAATTAAATGTTTGTCATAACATTATAACATTTTTAAAAACAGATAAGAAAGCTGATCTTAAGAGGCCGAATGGGCAAGCTCCTAGAGCAGTAGGTGGCCAGAAATACAGCATCTGATCATGCTCCTAACCACCACCCATGTGCAGCCAGCCACTGTGCCAGCTGTGCACCCACAAGGAGGCATCATCCTGGGCATGCCTTGGCTGTTTACCTCTAAAAATAATTTTGTGCTACAAATTGCAAATTGTACTATATGCTCATATTGTTCTTGCCACAGTTGATGACCCTTTTCATCTCCTAAGACTCAGCTCAAGACCCACCTCTTAAGAGCTTGATGTGGCTACTCTCAGCTCATGTGGGTTTATATACCAGAGAGTATGTCTCCTCTGTACTGCCTAATGCTATCAGACTGTGTCATAGTGTAGACTTTGTCTTATCTGTTAGGGCAAGGTGACCTTCTGTCAGGCTGGCAGAATGACTCAAGCTGTAAGAACACCTGCCTAGCAAGTGTTGAGGCCCTGAGTTCAAACGCCAGTGCCTCGAAAAAAGAAAGAAAGTTTAAAAGAAAAAAAAAGAAGGTGAACTTCTGTCAATGTTTCCTCATCAGATCACTGGGTCGTCACCAGTAATCTGATACATACTGTTTTTATCCATTATTTCTCAATCACCTTTGGAAGAGAAAAGTTTTGGATAATTTTAACATGTTTTTTGTCATCCCAGTTCTTACCCAGTTATATTACTTAGTTATTGATCATCTACACATTAACATAAGATACCTGTTTACCTGAAGAAAATTAGAATATAAAACATTGTTCTTCCTTTCTCGTTTTAAACTTGGCAGCTGCACAACAGCCACTTAGTTTACCAGAAGGAGAAATCACCACAATTGAAATCCACCGCTCTAATCCATACATTCAGTTAGGAATTAGCATTGTGGGTGGCAATGAAACGCCACTGATTAACATTGTCATCCAGGAAGTCTACCGGGACGGGATCATTGCCAGAGATGGGCGACTCCTTGCTGGAGACCAGATTCTTCAGGTATCTGTTCTAGTTATTCTATTAATTTGTGTGTTTGTGTTCGTATTGATAAGTTTAAAACTTAGAAAATTAGCTGGTTGCAGTGGCTTATGCCTGAGAATCTCTCCTGCCTCTCAGGAGGCAGAGATCAGGAGAACCATGGTTCAAGGCCAGCCTGCACAAAACATTAGTGGGACCCCCATCTCAATCAGTAGCTTAGTGTGGTGGCTCAAGCCTGTCTTCCCAACCTCAAAGGAGGCATAAGTAGGAGGATCACTGTTGCCCTGGACAAAAACAGGATACCCTTTCTGAAAAAAAGGGCTGGGTATGGTTCAAGTGGTAAAGCACCTGTCTACCAAGTGTGAGGCCCTGAGTTCAAACCCCAATACCAAAAAAATAAATAAACCTTAGAAAATCATGATATTGTGTAACCTTAATAATATATGCTGGTTTTATATGTAGAATGGATCAGAGTTTTATCTGTGCTTTTCCCCTGTTTCCTCATATAGCTAGAATATAATTTTCTCCCACCTTAATTTTCAGTCCCACTTATGACTAGGCACATGGTGCTGGGCTCTCTGGGCTTTCTAGTCTCTTCCTGGCTTGGACTCCATGACTGGTTATTTCAGGGACACCTTCATCTATGCTGAAATCTCTTACCCATTGGCTTTATTCTACACACCCAGTTTTCCCATTCATCTCTTGCCTTCATGTCTGACTTATTCTCTGATTACTGATTACTAAAATCTAGAAAAAACAGAACTGCATATCACTAGTTACTGATGCATGCATACATACACGTATATATGTGTATATGTATATAGTTTGTTTGGCAGTGCTGCTGGGGATTGAACCCAAGACCTGTACATGCTAGGTAAGAATTCTACCACTGAGCTATACCTCCCCCTGAGTTACTTATAATTTGTACCACAGAATTTAAGATAGAGTTCAGAAATCTTGTAGTTATCTTACTCCCTAATGCTTTCTCAGCATTCTAACTCTGTGTTTTCAATAACTGCTGGGTCCACCCCTCCAGAATTTTATCTTTAAGGAGAAACAGGCTACAGATGTAGCTCAGTGGTAGAATGTTGCTTCACATCCACACATGCCTGAATTCAGTCCCCAGCCCTGGAAGAAAGAAATAGGCATGCCAAAAAAAAAAGAATAGCATGGGGCAAGATGTTTTATTAGAAGGTGTGTTGACACTCACTGAGAGGGTGGGAAGGTAAGAACTGTATTTATAAGACTGGAGTTTATGGGAAAACTGACCTGGGCAGTTGAAGCTCAAAAAAATGGATCATTTCTAGAAGGAAAGAGAAGATATATTCATGAACAATATAAAAATACCTTCTAGGAACTCAAGTGCAAAGACTTCCCTCCTTGAATCATTGCTGTGTCCTTTACCATGATCTGCTGATATCTTCCTCTTACTTCCATTTTCCTGGCTACCCTTACCAGTCTAGGCCTTTACTACTACTTCATACCTGATTTAGTAGAATACCCCATCAAATATGCCTGCCTCCCATCTCCTCCCTAAAATCTGACATGATCACTGCTAGGCTAACATAATTGTAACCCTGCTTTCCTTGCAAAGATTTGGATAGAGTGTCAAGTTCAGACTGATGAATAATCAAGGTCAGGGTGCTCCTTGATCCCTTACACAACCTGTCTTCTTAATCTGAACTCTTTTGTATCTTCCATACCAGTTTGTTCATTTCTTACAGTGCTCTCTAGGCACTATACTAGTTGCTGGGGATGCATTTAAGAGCAAAATTCTGTCCTGCCCTCAGAATGTATGATCTAGTGGATGATTCAGACCTAGCAGTCTTCCTGCTTCTCTGTGGGCAGCATACCCCCACCTTCCAGCTCATTCTTATCTTATGCTGTACTTTGTCCACCTTTACCCTGAAAGCTTTGTTCATCCATTCTTACCTACAGTGATTCCTCCTCACTTGAATTATTGATGGTATTTGTTGCTTTCCTCTTCACTCGGCACATAATCCATTATAGTAGGTTGTTTAACCGTCTTAGCCATGTTTACACAATCTTTTTGTGGTGATTGCAACCACCCTGAATGTGTGTTTATTGTAACATATGATGAATACACAGGAAATACTTGGTGGATCAATAGAGAATGGGTTTATTATTTTTATTTTTGGTGGGACTAGAGTTTGAACTCATGCTTGCAAAGCAGGCACTCTACTGCTTAAGTCACACCTCCAATCCAGAGTAATGGATTAGATGTGACATCTTTTTGGGAATAATCGTTTCCTTTATTAAAACAAAACTTGGGAATTTTAGTTCTTGAAAGGAAATCTCCAGATTTGGCATGAGGATGGGGGACAGGCTACAGAAGCAGCTGGGACTGGCCTTTTCATTGAGAATCTTTGAGTTTTCCACACCCACTTGTATGCTGCCTCTCGTGGTAGATTATTTCTACTTTAACCTCAAGCTCTGAACTCTTCCTTCATTGCCCCCTGTATAGCTAAGACAGACTGAACTTTCAAACTGCTTGATGGATTTTGTTTGTTGTTTTGCGAATTCTAAAAGGAAGTAGAGGAAAAGCATAACTACGCCTGTTTACATGAAATCAGGCTTGTGCTCTCTCGTGGCTGACTGTGAATGGCATCTTAGCTGTCATTTTTGATACTTGTACTCTAGCTACACAAGGCTGGCCCAACTTTAAGGACACTTTGCTCATATTCCTCACTTCCTGTCCCACTTCTGCAGGGAGGGAATCTTACAGCTGGTTCCCAACATCTTGACACCTTGGCGTCAAGACCAAGAGAGCCAGAGAACTCTTTCTGCAGCCTCCATGTTCTTTCTGACTCCCACTTCCTGCCTTTCTTGCTGTAATTTAAGTGTATACTTATTTTGTCTTTGTGTTTTTTGAGTTTTGTTTGTTTTTTGCTACAAGCAATGTGTTAGCATTGGACTTCACCATTTCTAATGTATTCCTCATTCTTTTTCTAAATTTAAAAAGTCATTTTTATTTGTATTTCTTTGACTATAACAGAGATGAAATCATTTTTGTTTTATTTACTAATAAGTAAACTTTTTACTTTTTTATTTCAGAGAATTGTTTAGTAATATAACTGAATCTTTATACCTCAAATAAAATTATCTGAAATTGTTGATCTTTTTTTTTTTAATTTACCAAAGTTTTTGTAACTACGTAATAGAAATTGCAGTGTGTTATTACTGCATGTGGAGACATGCATACTAATGGCAGCCCTTAATAAAGATAATGATTCAGGTAGATAAAGCGTGAGCACATAACCTGATTTGTGAACTCAGAAAGGGTCTCTCCTCTTGTGGGCCCTGATTCCTGGTTGTCTTTTAATTGGTGTGTTGGATACAGTAAGTAAAGCTACCTCCTTTGCCCACATGTGGAGAAGTATTTTTGGTCATTCAGAAGCAAAACACTTAGAAGTCTATTTAGTAATTTTTACTACCTTGTTATCTTCCACTCCATATAAGCCAGTGAGCCAATTTAAAAATCCCCAAGCAGTAAGATGGTTCATTTGCAGACCAGAGAGCTAAGCCATGCTTTTATTTTAGCAAACTATATGTAGTTAATAGTGGTTTACCTACAGTAAAAAAATAAAAGTTGACCGGTTATGATGGTGCATGCCTATAATCCCAGCTACTTGGGAGGTGAAGGCTGGAGGATCATGAGTTTGAAGCCACCCTGGGTTAGTGAGACCCTATCTCAAAAACAAAAGTGCTATGAGTATGGCTCAAATGGTAGATTGCTTGCCTAGCATGTGCAAAGCCCTGGGTTCAAATACATATATATGCACTTGTACGCATGCGTGTGTGTGTGTGTGTGTGTGTATAGATATATATGTTATTCTGTTAAATAGCCTGTTTGCAGAGAAGAACCATATGTCCTCAAGGCCTTTTGCTACTCTTCAGAGATTCATATGCAACCTTTTGAGCAGTTTTGAAGAAAAAAATACACTTTTTAAAATTATATCAATGTCACTATTAAACAATATAACTTTTAGAATATTATTCATAATTATTTTTACTGCAGTCAGAATCATCAATAATTTAGTTATTTTCAGTTTTAAAGGAAAATAATTACTCAAGTGCTAATCACATTGGTACAAAGCCATTTAGCCTGAAAGTGATAGAATTTAACTATGCTGGTGCTATCTTTACAGAAATCTAGAAATGATATTTTAATTGGTCTTTGCTTTCTCTGAATTTCTCTGGCAAACATGCATTTGTGGAGGATGAATCTTTTTCCACTTGTAGGATATTTCCCAACCTGCTTCACAAAAGAAAATGAGAGTCTGCATGCTTACACATGGCTGGAAAATATACCTGGGTTTCAACCAGACATTTTGTAAAATCCATTGTGATTGTCTGGATGTAAGATGGAAGAATGTGAACCTATAGTCATCTTTTAGCTGGATAGCCAGAATGATAATTTGACTGATGAGTCTATGTCAGCCTGGTCTTCCAGAAACTGACTTGGAATTATTATTTTGATCCTACATTTGTCAACATTTCTATCAAAGTCTTGTATGGACGCTACAGACAGAAGAGAATAGCAAGGTTTGTGTGACAACAGCTATGAATTTAATAACTGGATTTTAGAAGTTGTCAGTAGACCAAAATCAACAAAATTTAAGTTAGTAGTGTTCAAAACTTCCAATCCCAGGGGGTGGAAATCACTCAGTAAGATAAAACTATCAATTCTAGATAAACAGGAAGGGGGAGGCAGATAAGTAGGAAGGGGAGTGGCCTTATCATGAATTTATATGAAAGAGATTTAAGGATTTCAAGTGATTACAGACACCTAACCAAGAACCCGTCCCATCACTGATACAAGTGATGTGTATTACACTTATATGCTAAAGAATTAGAGTAGAATTATAATTTTCTACTCTTCTTTAAAGTAAAAGTTATCTGTAATAAGGTTATGAAATTGGAATGTGCCACTTTTTAAAAATATAATTCCATTTATTTTCTCTAGCTTGGGTATTGAGTATTGCATTGGGAAAAGCAAATTTGTAATCCAGCAGAACTTAAGTTTCTGTTCTACTAGAACTAGTAGCCCTGGGCTGATGTACAGCTCGGTCTCATGCTGATCCTGTGAAGCAGATAGCAAACACATTTCACAGATGAGGAAACACTAGACTAACGTCTGTAGTTTGCCTTAGGTTATCAATAGACAGTAGAACTGAGAACTCTTAATTCCAGACTATCATCAAAGCCTGTGATCCTGACTATTACTCTGTACTCCATGCTAGTCATTGTAAGCTAATTTTTATGTATGTATGTATGTATGTATGTATGTATTTTTGCAGTACTGGGGTTTGAACTCAGGGCCTACACCTTGAGCCACTCCACCAGCCCTCTTTTTTTAAATTTTATTTTGTGATGGGATTTTTTTGAGATAGGGTCTCTCAAACTATTTGATGAGACTGACTTCAAACCATGATCCTCCTGATCTCTGCCTCCTCAGTAGCTAGGATTGCAGGCATGAGCCACTGGTGCCCAGTGTAAGCCTATATTTGAAAATGTCTTTAGAGTGGTTTACTGTGTACATAATGATTATATAACATTTTTACAGCGTTGACTTCTTTTGGAAATGTCATTTAAACATTTCCACAGGATAGAAAAATAAAAGGTTGTCATGCACTGGTTGTATTCTTTTTTTTCAAGGTCAATAACTATGATATCAGCAATGTGTCCCATAACTATGCCAGAGCTGTCCTTTCCCAGCCCTGTGCCACACTGCATCTGACGGTGCTGCGAGAGAGGCGCTTTGGCAACCGAACATACAACCATTCTGATGGGAACTCTCTCCGCGAGGAGATTTTCCATGTGGTTCTTCATAAACGGGACTCCGGTGAACAGCTTGGCATCAAATTAGTCCGAAGGACAGATGAGCCAGGTGTTTTTATTCTCGACCTATTGGAAGGGGGGCTGGCAGCCCAGGATGGCAGGCTTAGCAGCAATGACCGAGTGCTGGCCATCAACGGGCATGATCTGAAGCACGGGACCCCAGAGCTTGCTGCCCAGATCATTCAGGTAAACACCCAATGCTGAGCCTTAATTTCTGTACAGCAGTGTTTATTTTCACTGACACAGACATCAGAGTGCAGGGGATGTTTGACATTTCATTAAAAAATCAGACATGGTTACCTAAATTCCTCAAAACCCACATTGGCATAACTTCCTTATACGTGTTTTTTCCTAAAAACTTTGTCCCTGTGGACTTGGCACTGGCAATACAGTGTAGGCTCTACAGTTTCACACTGATTTCACATTTGATCTCAGGGCTCCACCTAGTCAGCCAGATAAATCCAATAGTTGTGTCCACCCTTAACAAGAGGCTCATAGGAGCTGTGATTACTAAGGTTGTGAGTTACAAGATCTCTTAACTCCCCTTCAGGACCCATATAAGTAGGGGAAAATAATTCTGTATTAAGAATAGCTTGTCTCAGCTGAGCGCTGTGGTTTCTGCCTATACAGATACTCGGAAGGCTGAGTCAGGAAGATCACTCCAGCTTAGGAGTTTGTAGCTTAGGAGGGGGGAGGCGGTAAGAGAATAACTTGTCTGTTTTTTAAGGAACTTGAAGTGTTTTAAACACATCATGAAATTTGTCCTCACAGTGTCACTGTGAAGTAAGTAAGGGTAGTCATTATTAGAAGGCATGTTTCTAGAAAGAACATGAAGACAGGTCTGCTGGAAACTCATCCAGAGAAGACGTACAGGTTCTGTCACATACTATAATGATAGGGACATAGCCAACAGTGATATAAAGGTGAGGCAGAAAAGTTTTTTTCTTAAAGCAATACAAGCTACAATATAATTGAGCATCAGGTTGATAGTAAGTGAAAAATGTGTTTACACACAGAATCAAATAACAAAAACTGCATTTATTGCATTGAGAGGAAATTTAGATATTGGTCTCATTTTATAGACTTGAAGTTTAAAGAAATTACATGCCTTAAAATTCCCTGAAATGAGAAGCAAGATTAGGACCTAGTAGATATTAGAAAAATAGTTCTCTTCCCTTGCTGGGAGGGAGAAGGTAGGTAAAAAATGGAGAGAAAGAAGAAAAAATAGAATTTGTGTACTTTATGAAGTGAAAAGTAAGATCAGTAAGATAGAAATAGATTGGTCATACGTATTTATATCTCAGGCAAATACTCTTAATTCTTAAATAGGTATCCTCACTGAATTTCTAATCAGCTTGTGGGAAATAAATTATATAGGTAGGAACTATTTTAAATTTTCCTAACTGTATTTATTCTGTTTTGATTTGTTTTGTCTTGGTTTTGCAGTAATGGAATTTGAACTCACAACCTTGTATTTGCTAGACAGCTACTCTACCACTTGAGACACACACCCAGCCTCCTGATTATATTTTACATGTGGATATTTAAAAATAGTTGCTTCACATTTTATGGTATAATTTTTCTCAAACTCTGGAAAAGTGAAACTGCCATGTTTAAGTTTCTTCTTGAAAAAAGTTCAATCTTACTACTTTTGGATTATTAAAAAGTAACTTGTATTCCGTGTCTAAAAAGGAGAATTATGAAGAAAAATGACAGAAAATAAAGAAGAAAGTTAAATCACATTCAACCTAAAAACCCCAAGATAGCAAGCAACATAAATGTTTTTAGAAAACATCATTCCAAGCATTTTTATGTATATTACATATGGACACATGCACTCATCTTGTGTCTTTTGTATCTTTTTATTTATCAATAATGTTGTAGTGTTTATATGAAAATAAGTACAGACTCACATCATGAGTTTTAGTAGTAGTTTAGTCAGCATGTACCATAGCTTATTAATTCATTCCCCTGTTGACAGTCTTTCATGATTGGTTTCAAGTTTAAGAGAGTTTGCTTAACTCTCCTCCACAAAGACCATAACAATTTGTACTCCCAGCAACACGGTATACCACTCACTTAAGAACTATGGTATTACTGTTTGAGGCATCGTACATTTTAAAAGTCTTCATTTTAACAAAAGTTTTGCTGTGTTTAAAACCCTGAGTCTTCTAACAAGTGTGAAACAAAGTTCAAACCCCAGTACTGCCACACTGCCACACCCACACACAACTTAAAAAAAAAAAAACCCGAAAACCTGAGTCTTAAGAAACCACAGATTTTAAATTGCCTAAGCCCTATTGTTGATCTATCATTTAAATTCTAAATGCACATTTTCATCACACTCAAGATTTCAAGCAATCTTGAAAGATCAAGAATTTGCTTCCATTGACAGGTTTGTATGAAGAGTTTTCCAATAAAGTTAAAATCTGTTTTTTGTCTATAAAGTGTTAAGCAGTAATGAAAATGAATCTATTTATTGAAGTAAAATCCCAGTTATTGATTCAACACTTCATAAAGTACTTATAATCTGAAGTTTCAGAATTTCAAATATCAGGATTTTAAACATTCTACCTTGGCATTTACCCTTTGTGATACTGGGCCTTGAGCACGCTAGGAAAGTGCTCTACCACTTAAGCCATGCCCCCAACCCGGCACTTATCCTATGATCAGGTCCCTAGACTCTGCTTGGAGATACCAGCTGTCACTCCTTCAGTTACTTTGAAAAACATGTCTGAGGCTAGTTAGCTTCATAAAATGCTTGATAGCGTATGACTTATAGTAGGATACTAAAGTTGTTTATAACTTACTTTTCAATTTAAAATCTGGAAGTAAAGTGATTTCTTAACATTATTGACTTAAATCACTATCATGATTCCTGAAACCAGGCTGTCATATTTTTTGTAAAAATGAGAATTGTAGTCATGACCAAGAATAAGCATCAAGTAGATCTGTACTTCAAAAGCAAAGACAAAAGTAACATAAATGTAATAGGTGTGAATATGTGTTTAAAAATAAGATCATGGGTATATAAATTTAAAATGATAGTCATGAACCTCAAAAAATGTAACACTTACATGGGGTGTGTGTGTGTGTGTGTGTCTGTGTCTGTATGTGTGTGTTTAACCACAGAAGTTTGAAAATATTAGCTAATGATCTTCCTCCCCATCACCAGGTGCAGTCACTGCCCAGGTGAAGTCCTGGTACAGTGATTGAGAAATGCATAGAATTACAAAGCCTGTGATCTTTTAGATGACAAACATCACTCCTGATTGGTGGTAATGTATATGTGTTTTCTCCAGGCTAGTGGAGAGAGGGTGAACTTAACAATTGCTAGACCAGGGAAACCCCAGCCTAGCAACACCACCCGGGAAGCAGGAACTCACAGTACCAGCCAACACCACGCACAGCCGCCCTCCCACAACAGACCAAACTCACATAAGGTGAGGATTTTTTTTTTTTTTCTAATTTGCACCGCACTCAAAAAAGAATCATTGTTACAAGCTGATAAGATTTTAATGATTTTTTTGTACACTAGTTATACCTCAACACAACGATCTTTAAAAAGATTTAAATGCAGGCTGTTATTCTATTAGAAAGGTGAACACAGGCATTTGGGATATGAAATTTATGTTTTCCCCCCTTGGAGAGTGACTGCATTTTCTCCTCTTTTCAGCCACTAGAGATAGTTTCTGGCAGGAAGGGTTCCTTTGTTAAGTGATTGTTAAGAAATGTGCAATCTCAAAAAAAATCTTACTTGTTTTGTGCTGCTTTGAGACTCTTCTCTGGTTGTTTATTTAAATGTAAGCATTTTGTATATGATTGAAAAAGTATCATGAAAACATGATTGACAAGTATATTTGGCAATTGGAGATATTACCTATAGTCACAGAATTAGACATGTGAATGTTAAACGTAGGAGTCATAAATTTAATAGGTACGTGTATAGCTTGTGTTTTTATGTTATAGCATAGGGAAATGTTGCCCTAAATCATTTAAAGTCCCATCTGTTGAGCTTTGTTTCTGCTTCTTCAGCATCAGTAGTTACTGGGTTTATAATATATTCCAAGGTAGGTTAGCTGAGAATTTGGACACTGACTCTGCTCGCATTCCAGAACTAAAAAAGGATGGCACTTTTAGTATTCTGCATGTACTGTTTACTTCATTTGAACTCAACTTCTATTAGGCCAGAAATTTTAAAACAGTTATGTGTTGCTCACCTAATTATCTGAAAATGAAAGCTAAAACAGAGCTTCTAAAGTCGTTCTCCTTAAATAAAATCAAAGTATTTGAGTAAACAAAAACTTGTTTGTTGATCTGCTTAAAAAACATAGAAAGCTCTTTATGTGCTGAAGTAGCTTTTAAGTTTAGTACATTTAAGGGAATAATTCCCTTCAGAATCTGTCACTGACATCCTAAGAAAGCATGGCTAAAAGACAGTATTTTTGTCCCATCGGGTTTTTCTGGTTTTCCAAGCTAAGTACAGATGTATCACTGGATTGTGGCTTAGTTAATACTTAAGAGAAATTGCAACCACTGGCTTTTGTTCTCATTTCTTGGCAAAAACCAAAATGTATGAATGAAGCCTGTAATTTTTCCTTTATAATAATGATTATGAAAAAGGAATTACTGCTTTGTAAAGGAATTTTGAATAAGAGTTATTTCATGTAGCTAGTCTTTGCTTTACATATTATAGATAAACACACATAAAATTGTAATATAAGGCAAAAGTTGGCAGTTAAATCTTTTATGTCATTGAATTTTGATATCTGACATAGTTTTAAAACAACTAAAAAATTGTATGTAATTTTCCAACATTCATATGAAAAACTTGGTGTACTTCATTTTAAAATTTTGTTCGTTTTGGGCACATGTGTTTTCTGTCGTTAACTTTGCTAATTCTTAACTCTCTTTTATGTGGCAATGTTTTATTCTTATTCTAGACACTTTGTAAACCTAGATTGTTAGAACAATCACATGGAATGTAATGTGTTAACAAACTACATTTGTTAACCCAGTCCTGATTAAGAAAAGTAAAGATAGCCCAGGGAAAACAAACACACAAATTCACCGAAACAACTTGTTCAAATGGTTATAATCATCACGAAACATTAAAATACTGTGTACGTTAGTCTACCAGCACGCCACTCAGTTGCTGATTTAGATAAACATTCATACAATAGTGAATCCTTAGAAAGTTTCTTGAAGCATACAAAGTATAATCCTTGAAGATTAGTTTGGTTCCTGAGGAAACATTGCATGCATTTTAGCTGTCCAGAGCACTAAAGCAACCACCCTTAATTGACAAAATACCAAGGACTGATAACACTCAAGGCTGAGTGTCCCTGAGTTGTCTTTATAATGTTGTGTTTGCCCAGTTTTGAAGGATACAACATAAATATCATATGTGTATGTATACAAAAGACTGTTGAGAGATGTAGACAAGTTTGCAGAGTCAGAACATTTTATAGGAATAGTGTGCTGCTCTTACACATAGTTCCTTTGATAAAAGTTTCAAGCCAACATGGATTTTAGGTCCAGAAGAGGCACGTGGGCTTTGAATCCAGGGCCCAATTTTTAAACTGTCATTAAAGGAACTGTTACAATTCTGTAAATATAATTCACGTATTTCTGATTTCAATATTGTTCATAGTTATCTTGTCCATAGCTGATGAGTGTTAAAACCTTTTGAGACACGAGCTCCACGGCTATGAGATAGAACCCGTGTAGGTGCTGTGGACAATACATATATGTCATGCATCATATTGTAGTATATATACAAGATAGGTCAATATTAATACATAACACAAACACTTTTAACATGCTTAAGTTCAAATCCTAGTGTAGTCACTTACAGTTGGGACAGGTTACACAACCTCTCTGAGCTTGTTTCCTTATCTGTAAAACGGAACCAGTAATAGTATTTTCTTTGAGCACCATTAGGATGATTAAACAAAGTAAAGCACATACGCCATTAGCTTTGCCCATGCTAAGCCCTACTAGATGTCAATTATTGCTACTTAATATTAATATTGCATATGTATACCTTATTTGTTACTGAATTCTAATTCCAAAGAAGAATGTTTTAAATTTTCTTTTTTACAGAATACTAGTTTTTTAGGAATTTATTTCCCTGTCATAAACTTTTTCCAAAATTTGGCTATTTCATTTCTTTTAGCTTTCCATGAACGTTTTTGTTTTGTTTTTGGTGCTGGGATCAAACCCAGGGCTCGCACATGCTATGCAAGGCCCTTCTGAGCTTCATCCCAGCCCTTCAGGAAAGTTTAGAAGATGATTTGCACTTGTTTCATGGCCGAACACTCACAATCCCTGCCAATAAGAACCAGAAGAGCGATTCACAGCTTTTTTCTAGCAATTAACTAGATTTCTAGCTTTTCTTTTGTACTGTTCTGTCAACTTTTCTTCCAAAGAATTGTGGAGAAGGAACTAAAATTAATTCGCTTGTCTTTAGAATCTTAAAACTCAGAAGCGTCATTTACTTTTATATAATTGTTCATATCTTGGAATTCAAGATAATTATAAAAATGGTGTATTTATTTTACATTAGACTTCCATATGACAACAGTCTTGAGTTTTTTCAGCTCCATGTCATATGACAATGTAGATATCCAAGGTTTGACATTGATGCACAGCATAACTATTAAGAAAAATGCATTTTATTTTCAGTCCTTAGTAATGCCACATAAGTTACCACCTTAGTTCAATTGTGTTTACCTCAGCTGTAGGTTACTCAGTACTCATTTTTTTTTTTCTTTTCATATTTTAGGATCTTACTCAGTGTGTTACATGCCAAGAAAAACATATTACTGTAAAGAAGGAACCACATGAGTCCCTTGGAATGACAGTTGCTGGGGGCAGAGGCAGTAAGAGTGGTGAATTACCCATCTTTGTGACCAGCGTGCCACCTCATGGCTGCCTCGCACGAGATGGCAGGATCAAGAGAGGTAAAACAGTGTCTTGAACAGTTCCACTACATCTTACCCCTGAATTAAACTCACATTTTTAAAAATAGAATATTGCAGTCTTCTGTTATACATGACTTTTTGAGGTCCTTTAAAATGTCCCTTGCATATAAAAACATAATGCCTTTCTGTCTCGGAAAAGATCATCTGAGCAGACTTAGCTTCCAGCATTATGACAGACACTCTAAAAGTCCATCTCACTAAAATGCAAATGTTGCTTATAATAAAGTGTCTAGGTAGATGGGGGCTCAGACAGGAAGTAGGATAAAGGACAAATTTAATTTTAGGAGTAAACTCATTTATTTTACATTCCCTCTAAGTGCTATATAAGTTACATAGGCGGGAGACACAATTAACCACTATTACCATGTTAAAAATAGCAGTCTCCATTGACTTAGTTTGTTGATATGGGGAAAAAAAAAAAATGAGCCTTAAAGTCATTTTTCCAAGAATGAAGTTAGACCCAGACCTCACACCATAAGCAAAGCTTAACTCGTTAAGGATCCAAAACCAAAATGTAAAATCTAAAACGCTTAGAAGAAAACACAAATGTAAATCCTTGTGACCTTTAATTAGGTAATAATTTCTTAGCTATTACACTAAACGTACAATCAAAAAAATTTTTTAATTAGATAAACTTGACTACATCAAAATTGAAATGTTTGTACTGCAAAGGGCACCACCAAGAAAGTAAAAAGATAACCCACTGAATGGGAGAAAACATTTGCAAATATGTATGTGTGTGTCTGTGTGTGTTTGTATATATGCATACATATATAACATATCTAGAATTTGTAAAGAACTCTTACAACTCAATAAAAACCACAAATAGGACAATTTAAACATGGACAAAGAATCTGAATAGACATTTCTCCAAGATGAATAAATGGTAAAACTCAAGTGCAAAGCTGCTTAACATCATAGGTTGTTAGGGAAATCAGAACTATGGTTCAACATAACCTCACATCCACTAAAGTGACTATAACTTTAAAAACACAGGCAAATAACAGATGTTGCAAGAATGTAGAGAAATTTGAAACCCTCAGACATTTCTTATTAGAATATAACATAGTACAACTGTTTTGGAAAACAGATTGACAATTGCTCAAAGAGTTAGATTCAGTGATTCTATTTCTAGAGAAATGAACACGTCCATATAAAAACTTGTACACCGGTGTTCTTAGTAGCATTACTCACAGTAGCCAAAAAAGGTGGAAACAACCCAAATGTTACTAACTGATGAATGGATCAAGAAAATGTAGTCCATCCATACAATGAAATATTACTTGGCTGTAAAAAAGAATTAAGTACTAACATAGTCTACAACATGGATGATCCTTGAGAACATTTTGCTAAGTGAAAAAAACATTAATGTGAAATGTCCAGAATAGATAATCCCATAGAGACAGTAAATGGACTAGTGGTTGTTTAGGATTAGGGGAAGAGGAGTGGTTGCTAATGGGTGCAGGGTTTTTGAGGAGGGTGATAAAAATCTTCTAATAATTGTTGGGGTTGCAAACTCTGAATATACTAAAAACCTTAAAATTGTATTTTAAAGGGTGGATTGACTGCTATGGAATTTTGTCTCAACAAGGCTACTTTTTTTTTTTTTAAGTTTCTTGTCCACTTGTAGAATTTGGGGTAATTTTAATTCTTCATATTGTTTTATTATGTTTTCTACAATGAGAATCTTTCGCTTTCACAATCTGAAAAATAGATGATAAATTGGGAGAGGGTGATTTTCTGTAGATTTTGTACTACAAATGTCTGCTTCTATAAAACTAATGCTTTCTTTCCTAACCTTTTATCTAATCCCCATTGCCCTTTTTCATTATATTTCTTGGAAAAGCAACAACCATTTTTTTTTCTTCCTCAAGCACAAGAAGCTTTTCCAATTACAAGTTTCATTTCATTGAAGGATACTAAATGGTCCAAGGCTGTTTTCTCTGTACATATTCTGGTATATTTGCCCTGAGTGAACTGTGCAGGCCTGTCTTTATATATAAAATTGTGTAAATATACAATAGAATCTATTTTAAAAAACATTTCTAAGTGCAAAGATTTGAATAGTTTTTGAATTGTAGAAATTTCTGAAGCTCAAAAAAGAAATGAATGTGCCCAGGCCTAAACTCAAGCTAATGAATTGGACTTCCCATTGTAACAGAGTGCCTCATCTCACACTTTTGCCTTTGTATTAGACATTATTATAAATTTTTGAGTCATTTTGAAATATTTTCCATGAATTGGACTTGTGTTCATTGTTATAAAAATGATCTTTTGCCTTATCTGAGTAATTGGAATTAACCTTTGTGAATTAGACAAACAACAAGATTTGTAGGGAAACAATTGCTTGATGGCTAAGGTCATTTTTCTGGTCTCTTCCTTTGGACCAGGTGATGTGTTGCTGAATATTAATGGCATTGATTTGACCAATCTAAGTCACGGTGAGGCTGTGGCTATGCTGAAGGCCAGCGCTGCTTCCCCAGCAGTCGTCCTCAAAGCATTGGAGATCCAGGTTGTTGAGGAGGCAACTCAGACTTCAGAAGAGCAGCCAAGTGCTTTCAGTGAAAACGAATATGATGCTAGCTGGTCTCCATCATGGGTCATGTGGCTTGGGCTTCCAAGGTAGTGATAGCTTTTTGTTTTATGGAATAATATTTGCAACCTTTATGAGTATGTAGTGGTTAACTTACCAGTTGGGGGTGAGAGGAGACTTTAATTAGAGAAAAATAGCAACATTAAATTCTAAAAGAAAATGGTCATTTTTCCTGTTATATTCAAGAAAGTTAACTTAATAATAAGAATTAAGCTAAAAAGATTTCTGTCTGTAAAAATGAAGAAAGCAATTCTGCCTATTTCTGTTATGGGTTTTAAGTGGGCTAGCTGCAAGATTGGATATTCTAGTTGCTTGCTTAGAAGGACTGTCACTTACCAACATTCATTCTGATATGTGCCTATTTTGCCAAAAGAAACAAGCCAATGCTTGGGGCTGTTCCCCATCCCAGAAACCTTTTTAAAGGCCTTATCTTTTTAACTTTCTCTAAAAGAGCAGAATCTAAAACTATTTTTATTGGGCACAGAAGTTTCAAAGCCAAATCATTTTCTTTTAGCTTCTCCACTTTTCTAAAGAGTTTTTTGCTTTTGAACCAACCATGACCAGCAAAACATTCTGAGATTAGTTCATGACAGGGTGACGGAGGCGTGTGACATCTCAGAATCCATTTCTGTCTCCAGATGGTTGTTAGTTGGTACTCAGATTGGAAGATTCTGTGTTATTATTATTTTTCTAAATCTTACAATATGTAAAATACTACAATATATAATATATTACAATATATAAAAATCCTTTGATTCTTAACCAAGTATGAAAATTACTTATTCTTTAAAATAAATATAAATGTAAAGAATGTATCAGTTTCTGATACATTCTGATTTATGGGGAATAAACTTGTAATAACTATTACTGCCTTATGGTTATAAAGTATTTTCACATAAAAATAGCAAAAAAAAGCATAGATATTACTGGATTTCATTTGTTGACAACCTAACTTGCTGACTTTCTTGGTTTAGAAAAAAAAATTGGAAAGCCTAAAGCCTGAAACTATACTAGAATTCATTGTGGAGAGATTTTTGGCCACAAAGATTATTTGACTATGGCATGTTTATTCCATGCATCAAAACTAAGTGTTTCTCACTGAAGTTTATACAGATTTAAATGGTTGCTGTTAAACACCTATAGAGCTACTATCTAAATTGTGAAGTTCCAAAGAAACCTCATTTCTCTTCTTCAGTTCTCAACCCAATACCTGGATGGTCATTGCAAACTTAGAGTGGCAGCACCTGTGGGTGCACAACTGCCTGCCTGTGCTGTGCAGGTGCAGTGACCTCATCAGCCTCTGCCTCTCTGCTGACAGAGCAGAAATGGTAACATCCTAGAGAAATCCCTGATCCTCATGTTTCATCTGCCAATGAAAGGACACTATTCCATGGATTTACAAAGGTCTCTATTGTGCTCAAACTTATATTCAGCAGTCACATGTGCTCCTGTGATATGTGTGGCCACAATAAGCAGTAACTCTACTTTCCTGAAAAGGGAGACTTCCCCTGTTCTTGACTGAGGATTCCCAGAGAAATGCCTGCCAGTTTGTTGCAGAAGATTCAGAGTAATGAAAATGACCTACACTGTCCCTAAAACAATTCCATCCAGTACATAGACATTTCTCTAAAAGTCCTTTCTTATCAATGAGCTAAGAAACTAGACCAGAAACTAGATTAGACATAATATGTATATTTATAAAAATCAGCTTTATTAAAAAAATCTAATGGATTAGAAAAGGAAACCTTGTTTTAGATGTCTATAGATCTGATTTCACTTAATAATAAAGTAATAAAGGATATCATATATATATAAAGATATTATTATAGAAAAAATTTTACATCATGTACATTTTTTTTTAATTTTTATTCACTGCTTATTCCCAAATCCATAGTTTTGGGAAGTGTTAGATTTTTTTTTTCCTCCCTCCTTGGGCAGCATCCTCCAAACTATAGTATCTTAATGTCCAAAATGGGAAATATTTATCAACTTTTTTTTTCTTCATGCTAGGGACTTACGCATGCTACATCCCACCCTTCTTCTGGCAAGCTATACTCTGGTCATTTTCTTCCTTCATTTGAGTGCTGAGAACAGCAGTACTAGACCTCTTTCATACCCCTTTATTATTACTCTTATAGACACAAATGATTATTAGAATTGAGGATGCTTTTGACAATGCTGTGAGCAAATATCAACACATAGTCTTTTTGTAAGCATTTCTGAGGTGTCACCTGTAACCAAGCTTAATTAAGCTTCCTGCACATGTGGTGTGTACACATGTCTTCACTTAGGAAAAGAAGACTTAAAAAAGCTAGAGAAATTGATTCTGCCTAGGACTTAACCTGTGCTAGAAAATGGGTTGTCGAAATAATGTAGTTGGGGCTAGGGTATACCTCAGTGGTAGAGCATATGACTAGCACAGTCAAGGCCCTGAGTTCAACCCCTAGCACCACAACCAAAAAATTAATAATAATAATAATAATATAGTCAAAAGGAAGTAAAGTAGCCCTTTTTCTTTTTTTTCCAAGTGTTAAGTATACCATGTTGTGGAGTTATAGCAAATGAGCAGGATATGAAAGCCTCCATGTAAATTTTTTCTTTATTTTTGTGATTACTCACAGTGCCCTTCACAGCTACCATGATATAGTTTTACGAAGAAGCTACTTGGGAAGCTGGGGCTTTAGTATTGTTGGTGGATATGAAGAGAACCATACCAATCAGCCTTTCTTCATTAAAACCATTGTGTTGGGAACTCCTGCTTACTACGATGGAAGGTTAAAGTGAGTCTTATTCTTCTCATGAAGCAATTTATGGTCATTATGCTGACATGATACAGCCCAGGAGTTAGCACCCAATTCAGCCTGCTGTCTGTTTTGATGAAGTTCTGTCACTGGGCATGGTGATCCCATGCCTGTGATCCCAGCCTCAGGAGGCTGAGGCAGGAAGATCTCAAGTTCCAGGTCAGCCTAGACTACATTTGCAAGACCCTATCTCTAAGGAAACCAGATAAATAGAGTTTTATAGCAACACAGTTACACTCACTCATTAAGCTGCTATGGCTGCTTCTGTGCTATGCAAGGCTCCAGTTGTCATGACAGACTATATATGGCTCACACATTGAAACAGAAAATGTTTGCAACCCTGGTCTAAACTGAAGCATTAGCTTTAAGTTATACTTTATTAATCTAATGACCAGACTGAAGATGAATCATTTGACTGGGCACATTGTGAAGTGACAGCTCTGAGCAGTTCTTCTATACAATCTGCTCAGATCTAGTTCTGCCGTAAGATGACTCTGCTTTATCTGTCTCCGTAGTACACGTCTCTACCTGACATTGTATTTATGCATGCTGCATTACTTTTACAACCCTAGTAGTCATAGCAGTTCATGTAGTAAGTCAAATAAATATTTGATGAGTGTATGTACAGTTTACCACTGTATGCCAGGCAAGTGCTAAGAGCTGTGCCTGCGTTGTTTAATCTTCTTAACAACACTATGAGGTGAGTGTGTTACTATTCCTGTTTTACAAACAAGGTAGCTGAGGTTTGGAAAGTCTAAGAAACTTGCCCAAGATCAAATAGTTAACATTGGTTGATTGGCATTCAACCCAGGACTATGGCTCCAGAGCCCTGGCCTCTGATCCCTCTGTTGCCTGCCATCACAAGCCAGCCTCTTTTTCAAACACGGAGGCCCTGGAAGAAAGAGAAGATGTCTTGCCAAATATTACCCCAACGGAGAGGAGGTGGTTGATATAAATTCCTAGTGCCTAGTTTTTGGTGAAAGAGCCAGTTCTTTGAAAGTAAACATAGTCATACCGGACAGAGTGTTGCACATGGAGCATTTACATTTTTTACAAAGAGAAAGTGACTTCTAAATAATACTGCAAAAAGTATGCTGCAAACCAGTCCCTACTGATGAAGAGGAAAAAGACTATCATTTTAGAATGAAAAAATGAATTAATTATTCTCTTAGCTAAGTTATCAGCCAGGGGTCACCTCAGTTAATTAATTTGCATCCTACCTGCTTCCAAAAAAAAATTGAAGTGGTGAACAATAAAAGAGCATATTCATTCATGTTGTAAACTAAAGACCAAAAAGCGTAAGGGTAATTATCAGTTATAAGGCTAGGAAGGTCCTCAGATTCATCATCCGCTTGTGGTTATTGTACTTACAGGACAGTGAGTATTAAAAGCTAAAAAAAAAAGAGGAAGTATGAGTCTTATTCTCAATTTAATTCAGCCCTCAGCTATATGAGCTTTAAGGATGGGTATAAAAATTATACTCAGAATAATAACCAGTACCCTCCAACTATATTTCTTGGTATTTTTCTTTAGAGAGGTAGCAGATTCATTATCCTAATTATATCTTAAGCTAATATGAAAAGTATTCTGCTTGTCCTTGAAATTCCCTTACCAGTAATGGGAGGGTTTGGCACAGGGTATTCTTGATTGGCAAGGGAAAGCCAGCGTAGACTTAAAAATTGTTCCAGATGTTTCTCAAAGTAGTTCACGTCTACTAGCCATTGACAGTTAATCAGTAAGCAAAATTGTGATTTTTCATACTAAACAGTTGAGATAATGTTTGTTAATACCATTAAAATAACATTTTACTTCTCTTTTTGTTTTTGTCCAGATGCGGAGACATGATCGTGGCTGTAAATGGTCTTTCAACAGTGGGCATGAGCCACTCTGCCCTGGTTCCCATGTTAAAAGAACAAAGGAACAAAGTCACTCTCACTGTCATTTGTTGGCCTGGCAGCCTCGTATAAGTTTTTGAAACTAGTTTCCAGTCTTGCTTCTTCCCATGTAGGTTTTTAAAAGGAATCTCTTTGGTGTCATTGTGTTTCTCCTTGATAGGAGTTCCTGGCACAGCTGGTAGACACAGGGCCAAAAACCACTAAGATCATCCTTTTATGTTTGTTTAAATAGTTTCCTAAACTTAGCTGCATTTCTGTTTGTTAGCTTGGAAACAGCCTTCCACTAACCCTGGTGAGTTTATACTTTCAGAATTCAGATTCTCAGTGGTCAAAATGTTAACCTACAGTAATGAATGAAGCCTGCCCAAACTGTGACCCAGCTAGCTGGATTATAAGTGGTGGTTCTTTGTTTTTAGTGACTGAATCATAAAGTGAGTTGTATATCCCCCAAGACAGTGTCAGCGCAGCCACTAACAATAGTGTTTGCTGCCAGACAGTGCCGTGAATGAACACATTGTAAGTTTGGCTGATAACCGTTGCTCATTTTTCATTGGTGCCAACATTTCAAAACTTTATACTGTTTATAAAGTGATTTTCTGGTTTATTTTACTTCTACTTTAATCTCTCAGTACTCATAGATGATAAAGACATAAATCTGATAACCACTAAAGAGTTTTTTTTTAAATAGTTATAATAATGTACTGTTATTAAAATAGTGGAGAAGAAAAGATAATGTTATCCAGGGACAAAGGAGCTCGAAAAGTAATTATAGCTTAGAGCTGGAGATGGTGCACCAGAGTTACTCAACAGTCTAAAAGCGTTAAAGATTCACTTCCAAAGGAATGTTTTGCTACATAGGAAAATTTTTGAAGGCATTTTTTTTTTTTTTACTAAGAATCATTTCTAGAGTTTCTACTGTATTTATCAGCAATCTTGTCTGAAAGTGTTTTTGTGATTTATGCAATTAAATTAGATGATAAAAACCATATTGCTGTTAAAAATACAAACACATCAGAGCTAATAGGAAAAGAGAAACCTTGTTTTATTCAGATAGGAGCCTTTCTTGAGTGTTGTAGAAACCTTAGTTTTCCCATCATTTCCTAAGAACTTGTTTCAAGTAAGAGACAGAAAAACTCGGGGTTTTTTTAAAATCTGAAATAGTAGATTTTAAATGTTAATATTTTTCAATCAGCTCTTGGTTACTAGACTATTTCATATTTTTTTAAATGTTTTGAAAACTGTCCTTTATTCAACATAGTTGTCCTTTGGAGGCACTTAAGGAAGTGAGTAAGAGAAAAATGTTTTTATCTTATTAATATTATGTGTACTTGAAAAAAATTTCTCTTAGAAACCTAGTTCAGAATCTGAGCTAATTTACAAGTGACCTCTTATAATAAATGGTATTGGTAATCAGATAATGTATTTCAAATACTATGGTATATTATCAAGCATGACCACTTCATTTTGAAACTTAGCAGTCAAGTTGCTGGAGTTTATTATATCTATAGCATGTCACTGACTATTCCAGTTAGTTTTATAATGATTTTTTAAATGATCTCTTTGGAATAAATTAGAATTGACAACAATAATTGGTACTGACTTGTTCAATTCCTTTGCTACAATGTATGATCAGCCTGTTGCCAAGATACAGTGGGATGCCCTTACAGTATATTACTGTCATATGATGATTGACTTTTGAAGCAATTTTATAGTGAAGTGCTTTCATATTCTAATTGACATGGAACAAGTTTTTTTCCTACTCCCCAAATAGAATTTTGTAACCAACTTTGCTGTTTTTTTAAGTGGTTTGTAAGAATATAGAATTTCTTTGGGGAGTGGGCATCCATCAACAAATATTTTAACTGACACTTTGTCATATATAAAATTCTTCCATTGAACTGCCTTTAAGTATTTTGAAGAAGAAATTTTTTTCAACATTATTTTTATCATGAAAGCCTTGGAATCAGACTAAGCTATAGATTATAAGATTATAGCTTTTGGTCAGAATTTGGTGATAGAAACTTGTTCATAATTTATTGTTACTCTTGAAATATTTAGGTTTTCTCATTTAAGTTCTTACAATTAAATATTTTGATTTGTTCTGTGCCTTCAGTTTAAATTATTTCAGGATTTTTTCATATGTATTTAAATAACAGCATGATAATCATTCAGAATGGAAATAAATGTCACTCTTTCCATAACAGCTCAGCATCTCTTTTCTTGAGCAACAGAGGTTAACTTAATCTGAGATCCTTAACTTTTGTTCGTAGCACCACTGTCCTTACAATATACTGAGCTTGAACCCTCAGGATCACAAATCCACTTTCTTACTTGCATTCCTGCAAGACAGACATATGAGGTAGAACCTGGCTTTCCCTCCATAGTACCTGTGCCCCGCTTCATTGTTGCTCACGTGTGACTGTTAAATCCTGAATGTGGCCAGCACCGTGACTGAAATGATAATACCTTGGATACATTGGGTTATAGGAAATACGTGATTAAAAATAACTTCGCCAGATGCTTCTTACTTTTTCTAATGTAAATTTAGAAAATCTTTACATTGCAGTAGTGGCTTACCTTGTCTCAGGTGGATGTCGTGGTTCCCCTGACATTGTGATTTCTGTTCTTCATATAGCTTTGATCATTCCTTGCGTTTATTATGCTAACAAGAATAATGAAAATAAAATTGTCTTCTGCTTTCCTGGTAAACTAAATTCAAACCAAGGCCCCTGGCCTGACCCCCTAGTCAGGTTTTCCAGACGGCTCTTCAATCCCATTTACCCTTCTTTATTCCAGCATACTCCTCAGGCACCCAGTTCCTGCCTTAGCAGCATGCACGTGGGCCTTTCCTTTCTCTGCAAGTTCCCAGTATTTGGAAGATAACTTGAATTCTGTCTCTGCTGGACCCACTCCCCTTTGTGTGCTTGGCAGTCTCAGTGGGTCTTTACTATGTTTGTATTTATTGTAGCCCATCCCTGGCTACCTAATTATTATCACGGGGGTTTTTGTTTGTTTTTTGTAGTAACTAGGGTTTGAATTCAGGGCCGTGAGCTTGCTAGGCAAGCTCTTTACCACTTGAATCATGCCTCCAGCCCATTAACTGAGTTTTAAGTACCATCTTATCTGCCACCTTGCAATTTTGCCTTCCCTAAGTCTGCAGCTCCCATAATCAATGGACTCAATATCCTGTTGCATTAAGGTACATGCATCTCAGCACCTTCAAAACTGAAGACCATTTTCCCAAGCATGTGCTATCTCCACTCACTCTGCCTCTTTCAGTCCAAATGCTTAAGCTATCAGAGTCACTTTTCTAACCCCATTTCTCATCACATCCTGGTCCTATTTTAAAATCTTCAGTGATTCCACATCCATCTATAGGATAGGGAAAATGGCTTGGTGTGACACAAAAGTCCCTTTGGATCTGACTCTGCAGCCTTATTTCCTACTTTTGCTTAGTATATAAGTCACCTCATCCCTACATATCCTCTGCCCTTCTGTGTTTACCAGGGCTGACTTGCCTCAAGTAATACCACCTTTGGGGGGAAAGGTTTGCCAATCTATCTCAGGCTTTTTTTTTCTCCTTTTAAAGGTTTTATTAAATTATATTTTTATGGTTATAACTGTATGCTAAGAAGATAGAAACAAACTTGCCAGGCAGTTGCTTGAATATCCCATCTGTGGGTTTTGTTTGTTTGTTTGCCTTTTTTATATAATACTGGGGATTGAATTCAGCCCAGCACTTGCAAGGGCTCTACTACTTTTGCCTATGCCAGTCTGGGACAACCATTTTTTTACCTCTGCCTCCCAAGTAACTGGGATTGCAGGTGTGTAATACCATACCTGGCTTGTTTTTGAGATAGGATCTCACTAACTTTTGCCTAGGCTCGTCTCAGACCATGATCCTATCTCCACATCTTAGCTAGGATTACACGTGTGAGCCACCATGTCCAGCTTGGACTTAAAAAAAAAAAAAAAACAGGTAATAGGGGCTGGAGATGAAGCTTATTGGTAAAATCATGCTTAGTGGACCTAATGCCTTGAATTTGATCCTAGCACCACACACACACTTTTTTTTTTTTTTAATGAACTTGACAATAATTGTCAGATTCCGAAGAGTTCAGGGTATTCCAGAGGAAGAACCAAGGCCTACCTAAAGTCCTTTCTGTATTCAGGACCCACTCTGTGTTTAGTGGTCACGTCACCTTAGGCACCTCTCAGCTGTGCATTTTCTCAGACTCTCCCACCCATGAGCTCTCATCAGGTTGAACACGCTGGTCAGGTGTGTTGTAGGTTGTGCTCTATTAGGTTTACTATTTTTCCCCTGTGATATAAAGCTGGTGTATGGTCTTTTAGGAGGAAGATCACCAAGGCAAACTGCCATTGTCCTCGTGTTAAGGATATATACAGTCAATGTGGCATTTGTTTTTGTCAAACTGAAGGGAGTGAAGTGCTATGTCACTGAGGTTTTGTTTCACATTTCCCTGGTTAATGGTGAAGTCACAGACCTCCTTATGTGCTTCATAGCCATTTAGGGGTCTTCTGTGGTGAGCACCGTGCTTGATGCTTTCTCATGGGCCGTTTGTGTTTCTCATCTCGTGGGTGGTGTGGGGGGCAAATAGCCTTTTCCAATTTATGACTTCTTTTCAACATTATAATGATATGATCAACTAAAGTTCCTCATTATTATACTAACAGATGTATAGATGGCATATAAGCAGGTTCTTCTTACCTTTTAGAATTTCTTCAGTGGTTGTCCACTTCCATGACCCAATTATTGTATTTTCCTTCCATCTTACTTTGTACTCTCAGTCTGTTCTGCCTCCCTCTGCTTCATGTTTTCTACTGAGTTGTAGATTTGTATCTGTTAGGTTAGCCTTGAGTTTTTCCTTATGCATATTTAACATAAAGTTTTGACTTGGTCAGTCATACTATCCTCCCCTGCATGATCTCCAAACGTTACCCTCTGATTTAGTGGCCATCGCTGTAGCTCTTCTTTATCTCTTCTTCACATAGCCATTATTATTGTAATTGTGTGTACAGTCAAGGTTTGTTTAGATTTTGTTTCTGAACTACATAAACGTCAAGAAACTGACATAAACTCAGTTCATAATAGTCGTTGAGTATAGAAATAACATCCCATGGAGAACATGTGGAAAACAGAAGGCCGGTAGGATTAATGACAACATTGATTCAGGCAGTCTGGAAGTTGATGGCAGTCCAGACATAAGGAGAGATTTCATAAAAGCTGTGTGTGGTGCAGCAGCACCCTCACCCTATTGCTATTTTCCAAGCTTTGGGAGTCACTAACACAGTCCAGCAGAAAGCAATGTCATCACCTTTCCTAGAGCAAATGCAAGCTGGATTATAAATCCAGTGACGTGTTTTCAGAGGAAAAATTAGAATGCAGAGATGTTCATCACCTTTCTGACACCATACAAAATACCTGTGATAGTAATTTAACAATGGGAAAGATTTATTTTGGCTCACAAGTTTCAGGGGTCTCAGTCCGTGGTTGGTTGCCCCTTGATTTTGGGCCTGTGGTGAGGCAGCATATTGACAGGGAGGGTGTGGTGAACCAAAGCTGCCCACCTCTGGTAGAAGAGAAGTGAAACAGACAGGAAAAGACTAGCTTTCCACAATCCCCAGTGACCTAACACCGCCCACTTAAAGGAAAGTTCCACCACCTCCCAGTAGCACCACATGCAGGGGACCAAGCCTTCAACACATGGGCCTTTGTG